CAGATGGACAGATCTGTAATTAATGCTACATACAAAGGATTCATAGAGGTTATATTGCAGAATAATGACACCAGAATGCAAAGCATTCACATGGATGGCTATGCATTTTTTGTGGTTGGGTAAGAATCTTATACTTACATGTCAACTGTCAAGTTCTGAACTGCTGATAATTTGTTGTATTTAAACAACTCTATGGGTGTTTGGTGCAGAATGGACTTTGGTCAGTGGACTGAAAGCAGCAGAAACAACTATAATAAATGGGATGCGATTTCTCGCTGCACAACAGAGGTTTGTTTTTCTAACTGAAACATATTTACCTTGTACAGTGCAATGTCAAGTGCCTAATTTTGCCTTAGGAGATTTGATTTTGTAGCATAGAAAAAAAAGCACATTTTGCTGTTCACTGCTTCCCTCTAATCATCTTTTGTGTAGGTCTACCCGGGTGGATGGACGGCAGTCCTTATATCTCTTGATAATGTTGGAGTATGGAACCTGAGAGTGGAGAACTTGGATAGATGGTATCTAGGCCAAGAGACATACATGAGAATTATCAATCCCGAGGAAAATGGGGACACAGAGATGGCTCCACCTGATAATGTTATTTATTGTGGTGCCCTTCAGAGCTTGCAGAAGTATATCTGAAATCTTATTGAAATTTCACTTGCTCCCTTGCGGTCTTTCCTTCCTATTACTAATGGGCGCTTGTACTTGCAGGGAATCACAAAGCTCTTCTGCAATTACATTGTTGCTCATCGGGAACTCCAAGTTGTTTCTGACTTTGGTAATCACAATTATAGCTTCAATTTTCACTTTTAGCTGATTGTGGGAAGCTCTGATAATTCATAGGCAGCTTGTCATTTTTCTCTATGTTGTTGGAGTAGCTTGTACCTATTAGCAGTTACACTTTTTTTTTTTTTGGTGTTAACAGTTTTACTCTTTTTTTTTCTTTAATCTTTAGGTATCTACCCTATTGTAATTTAGGTCACTAGGGGTCCATCATTCTTATGTACTTTCAGGTCACATGCTGATGATGACTAACCCATTCTCAATACCGTTGGACTTCGTACTTGAATTTTTTGCATATTCTTTGTTAAAATTTTTGCTTTCTGTGCTTCCTGATTTGATTTATTGGTTTAGAAGGCCACTCGAAGTTTTATTTTCAAACGGAGCAATTATTTGATTTAATAACGATTAATATGATGTAATTGAATTGAATGCTGTTCTGTGTGAGGAGATGATTTTGTTTTGTGCTGAGGGGACTTTTTTTTTTTTTGGACAAATAAAAAAGAATTGATTTTAACTGTGTTCAAGTTGATTAGCTAGAACATTTTAGTTTTCTTGATTCTATAACATGCCTTTAATGAAGGTATCATAATATTGATTTAGATTTTCTGTAAATGGATCAAGTGGCTGGCCAAAGTAGCTCTTTTATGGATTTGGAATTGTTATCAGTTTAGCTTTGAGGAAAATGAGGATTAAGTATATATATACCATGAGCCAAGAGGTGGAGTCTTAAGAGCAAAATCTTGCAAGGCAGATTATTGGTCTTGACTCTTGAGAAAAGAGTATGCAACAGTAACCTGATCGATCAGCAAATAATTAATATCCAGATATCATAAAGCGGGGCCGTGTCCAAATTTCCAGTCCAAAAAAGCAGCAAAAAAGAAAAAAAAAAGTTATTCTTGTGATGCCATTGCCTGCTATTTGAGGGCCTTGAAATAGTTGTGAAGGTATTAAAGCTTTTCTTTCCACTCTCCCACATTGCAATTTCTCTCTTCATCCAGAGCCGCCATATATGCAGTGGAGAAGCATAAATTTAAGCTCCATTGTACCCTGCGCCTCTGATCATTGCTTAGCCTCATCAGTCATCAGCTATTGGGAGGACCATTGAAGGAAACATCAATCAGTACCTAAGTAAATGGTTGTTTCCTTTGTGGCTTCAAAACATACATTATTAGATAAGTTAATTTATGGTTCTAATCTTTGAGTGTACTCCTGATCTAATTTTACTTTTAATATATTTTTTTTAAATGAATTTTTTTTTCCTTCTTACCACTTGGAAGAACATGCCGAGAGAGATTTAATTATCTCTCACGATGGAGGAGACAAAATTGGTTTAAACCAGATAATTTGTTTTTCAACTTTTTGTTGCAGGGCATGCAGGCAATTCAAAGGGTTCAAACAAATGAACTAATTGTAGGGTTGTTGGGAGAAATTAAAGAAATTAATCCTTGTAAAGCATAGATGGTTAAGTTAACCAACCAAAAGATAATGACATTTTAATGATTTATGGTACTATTTTACTTGAAATCTCCTTTATTTTCCCAGAATATACCTAATCCTTTACAAATATTGTTGGGAATATCCCAATTAATGTTGATTACCTAATTAATTAAAACAGTAGTCAACCTTAATTACTGGTCCAAGATCTCCTTAATCTTTGAAGCAATTTTTGGTCCAAAAAGTTAGGTTGGGGAAACGTTTCAATTAAGCATGCAGATATAATTGAAAGTTCTTTGCTGATCTATATATGAACACATTTAGTTTGTAAGTAGCTTGCCTTGAGGCTTCCAGATACAAGTAGTGGTATACTTTTTAGTTACAAAACCTGAAAAAGGACTTTCAAGCCTTGACTACTCTTACAAGTGAACGAGTTTTTCTTGTAAGAGTAAATGTTTCAACACTTTAAACCCTTCTAGCTAGGCTTCTATAGAAATGGATTTGTTTTTTTTGTTTCCTTAATTAAGCTGCCTCGCTCAACCACTTTGCTCTACTCATTCTTCTTTGGCACTTCTTCATCACTCTTCGCCTTCGGTTGAACCAAAACGTAGTGTTCAAGGTAGGTTACTGGTTCTTAATTAGTTTCAGTAATCTGCATGAAATGACTTCTATTACAAAATGCATGCATCCTTCTTAATTTCTCATCTTCGAATTTTAATTAAGATGCTGCTCATATTTTTTCTTTTAAACACCTTCCTGGTAGCAGAGCAAGAATACTTTGGGACTTTTCAATGCTTTCAAGAGTAAGTTGAGTGTTCATTAATGTTCATATATATATATATTAAGGCTAGCTATAAGTACTATCTCATAATCTTTGGATCACCCTCATAACATGCATGTATGTGCATCCAGGATCTTTGAAAAACTTTATTGTTGAATAGCGCTAGCAGTCTAAGCAAAGGATTGCAAATATTTCTTTCAAGGTTTCATTATTACTTATAACTCTGAATACATTCTCTTTTTCTATAGCTAAAGATTGCATGGTTCTGTGCCCGTAGAGTAATATTGAAGACACATTAGAAGGTGTGTTAGTTCATTCAGGAGTTGCTTAAGGTGAATAATCTTATTTTCCTTATTTCTTTTATATTTTCTTTAATGTTTTCAAATGCTTGTAGAAATATTAATCTATATATTTGTCTCCATTGTTTCTTTAGTACTTAAACATTTTTTGGTGCGTTTGCAGCTCTGGGATCCAGGGGAAAGTTTTATATTTTAATGACAGACGTCAAAGTTTGTACTTTGTGATTATGAGTTTCCCAGATTCTCCGGATCCCTGTTGCTAGTGTAGAACTTAACAGGTAATCCTACATGAATATTGTATTTAAAACATCAAAGGATTTTGAGCTCTAGTATAGAATGCTTTAACTTAGTGAAATATCGGCTGATGGCAGGGTTAACGTTGCATGCATATCTACGAACTTTCCACTAGTTACAAACGATGATATGGCCCACCTTAAAATAGAAGTTGAATACCAAGAAGAACTGAAGAATAGCCATTTTACTAATGCCCACGAAGAATTACAATTTTTTTTTTTTGCTGGTAAAAATATGATGCAGAGTACTGCCACCATCAATATTTGCTTTGAGCAAGAGTAATGCCACCAAGATGATGTTGAACAGTAAGATAGTATTTGAAGACTTCATAGGAACATGATGGCCGAAGATCATCATTTCCTCTTGGCATTTAAAAAGGGGGAAAGTAAACTAGTATCAGGGTTCCCTTTTAACTATCCTTGTCTAAATCATGGAGGAGCAGGTGTTTGTCACATTTTAGATATATTATAATTATAAAAAAGGTGATTCAATGAGACTAGTACTACTACAACTAGGTAAGTACATCAGCAAGCATCATCATCATCTTTGCTTTTTGAAATGTTTTTCTTATTTACTAATCTTTAGTTCTTGTCAAAGACTTACACATCAAGTACTCCATAATGTAATTGAGAGATATTCTAATCACATTATACCTCAAAAACATATCTAATTTAAGTTGAAATTGCTTTTTTCTTAACTAATTATAAAAAAAAGGGGGAGTTGATTTTTATAGTATATACACACTTGATTTATCTTTTATGTTATGGCTATGTAATTTCAGAATCATCGATAAGTTCCAATAGTAGAAAGTAGTAGAAACTAGTGTGGTGGGTTGGGCACCCTTTGATCAATTTTTTTCTCAACTTGATTCATAGGCTCCAACCCACATATTCTGGTAAGCATGTTTTGAAGCCCAAGTTAATTTGGGTCAAAATTTCCCCAAACTTGAGCTTCAATGGTTTATTGGGCTATAGACAGGGCTGCAATTCAATATTCATTGTTGTAAAAGGTTAAAGCTTATTTAATGAAATTAAACTGTTATGCATCTCTTACCTGGACTTATCTATGCTTCCTTTTTTTTAATTTTATTTTAAATTTTTGCACAGAAAATGGAACAATTAACTTGAAAAAGCTTCAAATTAATCAGAATGAAGAACAAATTTAATCAGATTAGAAAAAAGAGGCAGAAAAAAAATTAATGGCTGCATGGAACATTCTTGACTTAATTTGAGAATTTATTTAATTTCATTATAAATATTAAAACCAGTTGTACAGTGAATATATTACAAGCTTCAATCATGCAAACATGATAATACAGAAAAGAACTTGATTCCCTCCATATTAATGACAATACTTCATGAAATAAACCCTAAGTCAAGGTGCATTAAAGCTGTGTAGCTAGCATATTGCTAAAGATAAGCTTTGCCAGAGTAAAAAGAGCTTGCACTGAGACATTTGGCCTATTTGTATTTGGAAAGTATACAAGCAAGAAAAGCAATTAATTCCAAGCAGAATGGCCTCATCATGAAAATTAATACTTGAGATATCATTGCCAAATAGACCTCATTACCAAATTAACCTCACGCATGGATAAGAGTTAAGACACTATCTAGACACATATGCCCTCGTTTGACGTGTCGTTCCATTCAAGAACTTTGTGCTCTTTCTAGCAAGGAACACATATAAATAGTTGAGTTGTATTTCCAATTCTAAATATTGCTTTGAAGAGAATATATATCGCAAAAAGAGTGAAAGTATTAGGTTAAGATTAATTTTGAGATCAGAGAATAGAGAGCAATGGCCAGTGGCAAATGTATGACTCTACTGATTTCCTTAGCGTTAGTAGGGATGCTGACGGTTGACAGAGCTGCTTCACAAAACTATGGGGATGCATTGTCCAAGTGCATTTTATTCTTCCAAGGGCAGAGGTCTGGAAAACTACCATCTAACCAAAGAATGAATTGGAGAAAGGACTCTGCTCTTCGTGATGGCTCTGACGTTGGTGTAAGTCTCTTTCTCCGCCCATCCTTTTTTTTTTCGGTCTTTGATTTATATAGCAGATCAATTGCATAATTGAGCAAGCTGTAAAAAAACACTTAAAAAACTACACATATCAATGTCTTGATGAGCAAAGAAAATTTGAGAGTCACAAATCTGAGGTTTTATATATCTTAATTTCTTGTCTAATTACAAAAATCGTTGAATTCAAAGTGAAATATTAATTAATTTAGGTAATTTAGCAGGTGTCGATCTTTTAACTTCTTCCCTCTTTACCAAAGAATATAATATAAGTTCAACCTCTTGATCGTATTGCATGTTACTAAACAAATCCACTTTGAATAAACTATGTGTTTACAAATTAAACTAATTAGTTTGTGGTTTGTGTGATAAATAGATTATTTTTTATATAATTATACACATAAATAATATGAATGAATAATGTCAATTTAAATAATAAAAAATTTGACCACGAAGGAAAAGAAAAATTACCGTCAATATATATTTATAAAGATTTGAATATGAATTTTTAGTCAAAAGAAATAGAAAATGATTTTAAATTAAAAAATGAAATGTTGACTAATAATCAAGATTAGAGTGATTAATGGAAGACAATTATAATGGAGATATTCTTTCATTATTTTTTTTTTAAATGAGAGATATTCTTAGATTTCATTAACCAAATAAGTTAAAATTTTGAATTAATCTGGCATTACAATTTAAGAAAAATTTTGACTTTTTGAAAATTAAAATGAGAATAATTTAAGGAAATAAAAAATGACATTAATTTATTTGTGAAATGGAAAGAATATTTCAAAATTAATGTAATAATGACCATAAATTATTAACAATTAATTTGGTATCCTGATACGAAATTAAATTTTTTTTTGTATTGATTAATAGATATATGAAATCAATTTAAATATTCTAAGTATCAAAAGAATAGATCATCATCGATGTAGAAAATTTGTTTTTTTGTTAAAATCTTTTGTTTTTATATATTTAGTAATTTTAACATTGCTGGCAAAAATTAATCAAAAATTAATTTCTCTAATATTCTTAAACAAAATTGAAGGAGTTAACAGAATTCATACGTGTATGGACGTTAACATGAAATTTTTAGAAATAAAGTTTTGTTATTATAGTCTTTAATCTTATATAACACTTGGCATATTAGAATTTTTCAGTAGTGGAGTAATTTAGTTCAGATAAGGTTGGGCTATCTGCATCTTGCCCCGTTTAATTCACAACACATGTATTACATGAATTAATCAGTATTTGAACACCATAAATTACTCGATTGAAAAATGTAAAAATTTATATCATAATTAGCAATGTAATAGAAATATAATTATCCATAAAGCAGATTTATTAAAATATAAATAAGTACATTTCATGATTTAATAGATTATTTATATTATACTAAACTTGATTTGACGGGTCTATCCTCTTTTGAATCTTTCATTTATAAGATTATTACTCTTAATTTTCATTGGATTCAAAACAAAATTTTCAAACATTTAACAAAAATCTCTTTAGGCAAAATTTTGGAAACATTTATTTCATAAAAATTGAAATCCCCAATAATATTATATTTTCTCTTTCGAAATAATGATTTGAATTTTTTAAAAATCTTCTTGAACATATTGACAATATTATTATTGGAGATATTCTTATTATCATCATTCTTAATTTAATTATTCACTTTTACTTTTGTGTTCAATACGATATATTTTAATTAACAAACCCTCCAATAAGCAAAAATCAAATAAAAAATAAAAGAATGAAAATCCAAATGAAAATAAAAATATATATACACATATATATAAATGGCAAAGTGTATAGTATGCCTATAAATACATCTTATAAAAATATACAAAATCTACTATTATTTCAATTGATAAATACGAAGAAAAAATATGTATATATATGTATAGTATGTATGTATGTATTTATTTATATATGTATATACATCTTATAAGAATATATAAAACATACTATTGTTTTAATTAATAAATATGAAGAAAAAAGAATTATATTTGGTAAAAAAAATAGAAAAAGATAAGGGAGGATCTTATTCATATGTACCCCTATCTATATGTATGCATAGGAAATATTTTATATATCTATTTATATATATATATATATCATAGTTATCAGAATCGAATCAAATATTAAACTGTTTAAGATTTTGATTCATTGAGTTAATGGCTCAACCATCAGGTCCATAAGGTTAATTGTCAGTTAAATGAAAAATATTATAAAAAATATATATTTAAAAATTTTAAAATTCAAACTATTAACTCAAGATATAGTTTAATAATTCAACCATAAAATTATCAAATTTAAAGTATATCATAAACCATAATTTTAAAATATAAAATTTATAGAACAATTAATTATTAGTTAGAAATGAAATTACTTAACATTTTATTAAAATCTTATTTTATATTTTAATAGTTAGAAATAATATTTATATTTTAATAAATATAATAAATAATAACTAATAAATAATTATAAATAATATTTATTATTTATATTTATTAAAATATAAATATTATTTATTAATATAAAATAATTAATCTTTATGTAATAAAAAAGAAATATCTATATATAAAATTAATAAAAAGGAAATATTTATATTTATATGAAAATTAGTAAAAAGGAAATTAAAATCATTTTTATATTTTTTATATGAATGTAGATTTTTTTATTAATTTTACATATATAAATTTTTTTATTAATTATTTTTGATCATGGTCAAATAATTAATCATTTTTATTAACATTATATTTTTTTTATTAATCTTATATATTATTATTTTTAATTATGGTATCGATTAATAAAATTTTTTGTTAGATAATCTTTTTTTGAAAATTGCTTATTTTTACATATGTGTAAGTTTTTTTGTAATATCATTATCTATTTTTGTAATATCATTATCTACATGTCTTAAAATATATCAACATATCATTAATATAATGATATAAGGGTTTTGATAGCAGAAAATAAGAGTTAATGAGCTTATTTAGATGAAATAGTAGTATAAATGTTTAATTAGATTATTTTGAATACTTAAAGGGCCTTTTTTCATATTTTACTTAAATTTATTAATTGGTATTGAATCAGTTTGGTTTAAAAAAAATTTATTGGTTTACTAATTTATTATGTAAATCGCTAGTTCACAATGGTTTAAAAGCGATTTAATTGTAAAATCGATCTAATTACAGAATAAGATCAGTTTCAGTATTGATTCATCGGTTCAATCGGTTGGGCCGATGGCCTGATACATTCTAATAACTATGATATAGATTATAAACTTATATTTATAGTATTCAAAATAAATATAAAAGGTAAGGGTTTGAATTCATATTTTAAATTAAATCTCAAATGTTTAGGCATTTTAGGTTTAAATTTGATTTAGGAAGGCATTTGTAATTTAAGACATTAGTTTTGAAAAGGTTATAGTAATTATAATAAATTAGTGCATGATTGTAGGTGTATTTAATTTTGTTTGCATATTTATATTTTCTATAAGAACAAAGCCATAAAGAAATAAAATAATGTATATATATATACATACATTTAGAAGAGAATAAGTGTAATTAATTCAATCAAATCAAAATAATGAATTACATATCATGTGGTGTTTATTTAAAATTATATATTCACATGTTAAAAGAGTAGATCATCCACATATTTTTTTTTATCAAAGGTTTTGATTTTTATATAAGATTAGCTTATGTGGCAAATAAATCTTAACTTTTAATTATATATATATTCAGAAAAATGGAAATTTAACATTATTATTCCAAAAAAATGGTTAACATTAATTTAATTTAGGATTTGTGTGTGAAAAAAAATTAATAGATACAATAAGGATATAAAATTGTGTGAACCAATTGTGAAATTCGAAGACGTTTTCGAGTTTTTTGCTAATTGCAATGCGCTTCTAAAAGGATATTGAATTGGAATCAGATGGAAGTCATAAACATTAAACAAAATTCAGAAATAAATTAACTGATTTATACTTGAGAAGATTAGTTATTTAACTATATAAATAAATAAAAACAAAATTAAAAACATGATGATTTAATTGGGTTTCAGATGGACTTAGTAGGCGGTTATTACGATGCCGGTGACAACGTGAAATTCAATTTTCCAATGGCATTCTCAACCACAATGCTAGCATGGAGCGTAATCGAATTCGGCCAATTTATGGGCCCAGACCTGCAAAATGCTCTAGACTCCATTCGTTGGGGTACAGACTACTTGCTTAAGGCCACCAATTTCCCTGGCAAAGTCACTGCCGCCATTGGTGATCCTAATGCCGATCATAATTGTTGGGAAAGGCCCGAAGACATGGACACACCAAGAACCAGTTACGTGGTTAATCAAACCCACCCTGGATCTGAAGTTGCGGCTGAAACGGCAGCTGCACTTGCAGCTGCTTCCTTGGCATTCAAATCCGCTGACAATAAATACTCTATAGCACTCCTCAAAAGAGCAACGCAGGTACAGTGATGCAGAACTATCTTCTTAATTCCTTGTTTCTTCTACTACTACTACTACTACTATTATTATTATTATTTTACTCCCTTTTTAGTTAATAGTGATTTTTTTTTGTTTATGTTGTGGATTAGGTCTTTGACTTTGCGGATAAGTTTCGGGGAAACTACAAAGACAGTGTTGGCCAAGGAGTGTGTCCATTTTATTGTGATTACAGTGGTTATGTGGTACGTACGTACGTAGGCATAGAAAAATATAAGACACATTCACTAGATTGCATGGGAGATTAATTACCACCACTATGGCTAAAGTTCAAATCTTTAAATTTCAATCTTGCAGGACGAACTGATTTGGGGAGCAGCATGGTTGTTTAAGGTGACAAACGAACAGAAATACTGGGATTATATTCAAAACAACATTCCACAACTACCTAAACAAGTTATAAGGCTTGTAGGTGGCAGTACTCACTTGCAAGCTGGTGATAGCTTGGCTGAATTTGGATGGGATGCAAAGTTCGCCGGTATCAATGTACTTGTTTCCGGGGTAATTAATAATCTAATTAATTTTCCCTATCAGCTTGATCATTTTGTTTTCTTAATTAATAAACAATTGTTTTTATAATACAAAACTAGAATTTGTTTTGATTATTTTTGCAGTTGGTAATGAACTCCACGAATTCCAATCCCTATGTTCCCCAAGCAGGTAACTTTGTTTGCAGTCTGTTGCCAGAATCACCTTCCAAATCTGCTACATACACTCCAGGTAGCCTGCCTCGATCGGACTTAAAAACATCATTTTGTTTTTGCTGTTGCTAATAATGGATGAAATGATTTGCGAATAAATTTATGGTAGGTGGGCTTTTGTTCAAACGCGATGGAAGCAACTTGCAACATGCCACAGCTCTGTCATTTCTTCTCCTTGTTTACTCTCAATATCTGAAAAAATACAATGGAGCTGTTCGTTGTGGTAATGTTAATGCAATACCATCTAGGCTCGAGCAAATTGCAAAAGGCCAGGTATATATATATATATATATGTATATTTCTCATTATAAATCCAAAGAAACAGTTCCATTATTCCCATAAGTGCAAAGTTTATTTGTTTATGCATGATAGTCTGCAGCATGAGTCTTTATCAAAAGTTTATTAATTAGTAGGCATTATTTTATAAGTAGGCATGATCAGGATATTAACGTCTGAACAGGATGATGCCCTCCAAATTTAAGCATTAGAAAGTTGGATTTTTTCCAATTATATGGAGGAAGCTTACAATTAATTGATGCGCAGGTCGATTATATACTGGGAAAGAACCCACTGGGGATGTCATACATGGTGGGATTTGGGCAGAAGTTTCCTCAAAGAATACATCATCGGGCTGCTTCTTTACCTTCCATTGGTGAACACCCAGAGCACATCAAATGCAAGGATGGAACCCCTTACTTTCAAACCAAAAATCCAAATCCTAACTTGCTTACAGGAGCTATTGTTGGAGGACCTGATGCCAATGATCAATTTCCTGATGACCGGACGAATGCTCCGCAATCAGAGCCAACCACCTATATTAACGCGCCTTTTGTTGGCGTCCTTGCCTATTTCAAAGCATTTCAGAAAGTCTGAGTTATATTATATGTAGTTTACATAAAATGAGCGAAAATCATGCTGCCAACAACCTCATTTGTTAACGTTCCTCTCATTAGAGTCCTGGACTACTTGAAAGCATTTCCATCACTTTGAGCTTCACTGTTTAAAAAAATTTAAATGTGTAAAGTAGTGGATTTTCTACTGATTTAGCAGAAAAACTTATTTAAATATCCTTCTACTTAATGCAACAAATTAGATGATTAAAATGTCCTTAATTATATATCCAACCATGTTCAAATACCCATCAATACATATATAAATATATATATATAATATTAATTCAACAGTTTTAATGAAGCATTTGCTTAGAACATACATCTCAGATGCGTATGAATGGAGAGTATATGTACTTTTAAATGTAAAGATTAAGAAAAACTTAAATGTAAAGAACATAACCTTGAATAATTAAGACACAAAAATCTGATCAGTATGAACAACATAAAGTGCTGCCTTCCAAATTAACTAAAGCAACACAGCAAAATTATACATTGATTGATGCATTCAGGTGGATTATAATTATATATATGTACTTAGGAGAAAACTCATGGGGGATGCCATACTTGGTGGATTTGGCAACAAGTTTCCTCGGAATAATAATTCATACTTCACAGGGCCTCTTTCATCTTTATTTTCCATTGAAGAACAACCGGAACACATCAAACGCAAGGCTGGATACCCTATCTTGGAAACCAGAATTCCTAATCCAAAGATAATTACAAGGGATATCTTTGGAAGGACGGAATGGGTAATGGCATTGACATGTAAGAGTTTCCTGATGATCGGGTGAATGCTTCAGTATTAGCTAGAACCCACCACGTACAGCCTTTTGTTGGGCTTGGGTTTTACTGTGCTCAGGGTGGATTTATATATTCAGATATTACAGTTTTCTTTCCATTCCGAAATTTGGATGTATTTTGAGAAATATTATAATTTTTACTAAACTAAAAATAATAATTATAGGTAATTACCTTTTTTTTTTTTTTAAATTTCCTCAATTCATTATTTGGTTTAGTATATGGATTTTAACCCAATCTGCTAAAGGGATAATGGAGATGGCATTCCTTCTACGAAGAAAAAATTATGATAATAAGTATATATGATTCTTATATATATTTTTGAGTTTTAATGTGCAAAATTTTAAAAGTGATGCGGTAATATATAAAGGATCTTTTTTTCAAAATAAAAAATTTGATTTAATATTTAAATTAATTGATATATTATTGAAATTATGTTTGAAAGTTACCAATTTGAAAAAATTTATACTTGTAATAATATTTTTTTTAATAAAATAAATATTAAAAAAGAAAGTTAAAAATATATTAAAAATTAAAAAAAATTATAATAGTCGGTATGGGTAGGGAATTGTATAGTAAAGGTTAAAAAGGTAGATAACCGTTAAGATTAACATCTAATTCATACTTTTCCCTTATTATTATGGATGATATAATCTAACCCTATGTTGAATAGAGCATGCCACAAGTTATACATGGCTTACCTCTATTTTTTTTTTTTTAAATCAAACTGTTTTTATCTTTCTTCATACGGAATAGGCATTTATTTGCTCACGAGATTGCTCCACTTTGCCTGGAGTATTTTATCTATCTCTTCCTAACTCTTGTTGGGCTTTTGGAATCCTGCCAAAAATGCCAACGAAATATACGTTACACAGTCTGTACGTACAAGAAATCTCAAAATTAGCATCACTTACTCTATCTTAAATCCGTATAATAAGCAATACCCCACTTCAAAACCACATGCATGCATATTTTTGACATTTAACAGGAAACTAATACATAATTTTTAAAATCAATAAACATAGTAGCATATATACGTATATTACTTAATTTTCTCTGTTCATGGTCAAGCTAACCATGAAGAGAAGCATAATTGTTGACCAAAGCTAAGGCATTGCTTGTCATATGAACCATTGTCAAAATCTTTCTTCTCACAGTAGTCTTTGTTTGACCTGAAGCAATAAATATAATTACATAGAAGTAATATATCATAATAAAATTACAGTAATAGACAACAATTAATAATACAAAATGCATGAAAAATAAAGCTCACTAAGATTTACATAAAAAATCTTGTAGTGTAGAGAGAAAAAATTACGAACCATTAAAAAAATCTTCACTATCAAATAATAGATATACAAAGTTATTCTTTTTTAACTAAAACTAGAGTTAATCAATAACTAGAGAGACAATTGGAGAAATCTCACCAAATAAGTGAGTTAATAAATATACTTTGGATTTGTTCCCAGAGAGCTTCAAACACAATATTCACTGTTCAGAATGTTGAACTTTGAATTATAAATCTGCTAATAAAATTCAGTTTAGTTGGACTACAAATCGACTTTCGTTTAACCAACTCTTCCTTTTCTATTTCTCTCTATTTTTCCTTGCTTTTCTTTTTCTCTCTTCGACACCACTCTCTGTTTCTCTATTACACAACCCTTTTTTTATTGTTTAAGGCTTTATTTAAATAGGGCTCTCTTAGGTTAAAGACAAAAAAAGGCTTTAGGCCTTTTAATTGGCCAAAACTAATGGGGCTGGACCCCATATATCCTAATAATCTCCCCTCCAGTCTCATTAAGAAAAGATTCATCACCATAGTAGTTTTATTTGGAATTCAACTTAGTTAAGGAATCCATTCCGGCCAAGTAACCGTAGAGCTCAAACTTTTTTCTGGGAAGTGTTTTAATCAACATATCTGTTACATTTTCATTAGTATAGATTTTCTTTAACAGCATCTGTTGTTCCTTAATTATCAAATGTAACCAATAATATCTAACATCAATGTGCTTTGTTTTAGCATGGTACATAGCATTCTTACTCAAATTTAAAGTACTCTGGCTATCATAAAATATCACATACTCTTTTTGATTCAACCTCAATTTAAAAAGAAAATGTTTCATCTAAAAATTTCTTTACCTGCTTTAGTTGTTGTAATATACTCAGCCTCTGTAATTGACAAAGCAATACACTTCTGCAATTTAAACTATCAAAACACAACTCTTATTGTAAAAGTGAACAAATACCATGAAGTAGATTTTTTACTATCAAGATCACCTACCATGTCACCATCAGTAAACATTTCTAGAATTGGTTATGAAATTTTATAACTCAAGCATATTTTTGAGGTGCTCTTCAAATATCTAAAAATCTATTTCACTGCTTCCCAGTGAATTTTTCCTAGATTAGAAAGAAATCTACTCACTACACCAATGTCAGGCCATATGCAAACCACAAGATACATCAAAGAATCGATTACAGAAGAATAAAGAATATTAGACATAGCTAGTTGCTTTTCTTTAGTCATCGGATGAGATTTCTTACTCAGATGAAAATGATTGACAAGTGGACTACTAACTGATTTAACATATTACATGTTGAATCTACTAAGCACTCGTTCAATATATTTTTTTTGTGACAACCACAACTTTTCAGCTCTTCTATTTCGGATAATATCTATACCTAGAATCTATTTTAATGGATCTAAATTCTTCATGTCAAAAGACTTAGACAATTATTATTTTAACCTGCGAACTATATCAGCATCTTGTCCTACAATCAACATATCATCAACATATAATAGGAGAATAATGAAGTTACCATCAGAGAATTTTTTGACATACACATAAGGATCTGCTGCCTTTTTTTTTTATAGTTGTGGCTCACCATAAAAGAATCAAATTTTTTGTACCATTGTCGTAGAGCTTATTTCAAGCCATACAAGTTTTTCTTGAGTTTGCAAACTAAGTGCTCTTTTTTTTTTTTTCACTTCAAAACCCTTAGGTTGATTCATATAAATGTTCTCTTGCAAGTCATCATGCAAGAATACATTGTTCAAGTTCAAGATTCAAACTAGCTGCTAATCCCAACACCATTCGAATGGAACTCATCTTTATAACTAGAGAGAATATTTCATCAAAATTGACACCAGGTTTCTAAGAAAAACCTACCATCACCAATTGAGCTTTGTACTTTACTAGTTTATCACCTTTCTTTTTTAGCTTGAACACTAATTTATTTTTCAACGACCTTTTTTTTTTTGAAAGTTTAACAAGATCATATGTACCATTTTTCCTTAATGACTCCATTTTTTCTTTCATTGCTTTTAACTAGTGCTATCTATTCAAAGTAGTTTGCATATTTTGAAAGCTTTGTGGTTCTTTTTCACTAGTAACTAAAATAAAATTTAAACTTGGATACTTGGTAAATGGCGTGTGCTATTTAGTAGATCTTTTAAGCTAAGACTTTACACCACCTGATGCTGAATGTAGCTTTCCTTACTCAACACTCTGTGGTGGATAGGACTACTCAACTTGTTCAACACTCTTAAGTGGAAATGATTGCTTCTCCTGTTCAAAATTGATTGCATCTGCCTCATCATTAACTGTGGCTGGCTCATTCATATCCTTAAGTTCTATTTCTTGCTCATTTTTACCATTTATGGCTCTTTCTTGTGGAACTCTTATCGGTATTAAAACATCATACTCAATAGTAACCCATATAGTTTTCTCATTTTTCTTAAGGTTTACTATGATTTTTTTTCATAGAAGATCACATATCTGCTTCTGACTATTTTTTTCTTCGTTAGATCTCATACCCTATAGTTAAATTCCTTATCAGTATATCTTATAAATACACACTATATGACTTTATTGTTAAGCTCTGATCTCTATTCTTTTGGCACATGCATGAATGCTTTACACCTAAAAATTTTAAGTGAGAGTATGAAATATGTTTCTCTATCCACATTCTTTCTGAAATGTCAAAGCTCAAAAGAACTGATGATAATCTATTAAGCAAATAACAAGTTGTATTGACTGCTTCACCCTATAATGATTTTGATAATTTTGTCATCCTCAATATACATTTGACTTTTTAATGCGATTCATCTTTTTAGGTATGCCATTATGTTACGGTGTTTCATGTTATATCATCTTATGCCTAATCCTACACTTTGAATAATACTCTTCAAAGT